CATATGAAGGATAGGATTTTGAAGTTATAGATGATTTTCATGGATATAAGTTGGTTTAAGTAATGGCAGTTGAGTTTAATGACATGATAGGGGTTTAAAATAGAAGAATTAAGTGAAGAATTGATGATTTTCGAGGTTAGAATACAATTTCTGGGTAGAGGGAATCGATACCCTATGAATGCGAATCGATTCCCCCTCTTGGACGAAAATTTCCAGAATGTCCAGGGGGTATCGATTCCCCCTGGGGGGGTATCGATTCCCCCCTAATGAAAAAAATGGAATTTGATTCATTAAACCGGTTTAAGTTATTAACATCAAGTTTAAAGTTTAGGCTTATGATAGTTGTTTTGAAATGATATATTTATGTAGATATTGAGCCTAAACAAATTCCGGAATAATCAAAGGATTATAATCAAATCAATGCAAGGCTAAGGTGAGTGCAATTTTAATTGTACTTATATTATTGAACATTGGCTTGCGATGAGCTAGTGATGGAGTTACTATGGTAAAAAGTGACTCTTAAAATGTTAATTGATTTGTGATTCTTATATATGCATGAATACATGAAATGGGTATAGGTTATTATATATGTTATATGATATGCATAGACATAAGAGCATGAAACATAAGATATATGATATGATATACATGATTATATGCATATGTGATATATGCTATGAGACATGATCAATGTGAAATGAGATAAGTTATGTGAATATATGAAATGATATATGAACGTGATACATGTGATATGATATGAAATACATGGTTATACATACATGTGGTATGTGACAAAAAAGAAAGAACAAGTGATGAGAAAAGTATTTATCGTAAATGCCCATAGTATATGATACGAGAGCTATAGGTATAGTTGGCATGCCAAGAGTCGAGGGTATTGTAGTCCTTCGGGACGTAGTGGTCCTACGGGACATATATAACAGTCCTTCGGGACGAATACTGAACAAATGTTTGGTGCCCCATGAGGGAATTTATACGAGCTGTGGTGACAACATTGGTGCACAACCTCAATGTACTCACATACCTCTATTCTCAATAATATATGTGGGCAACAACAACAACAATTGAAATATAAATTAAAGTAAAAGTGATGAAAAAAGGTAAGTTTCATGTGTGCATGACTTGGTTATATATGTCATAGGAAATATATCCATGCATATTGAAATATCATGATCAAATGGTAAGAATGCATATTCATGAATCTATTGTTACATGTTTATTTATTGCCTCACTAAGTCTATGACTTAGCGTGTAAGTGATTTACACGTAGGTACCAAGAAACGTGAAGAGCAAGAATAGAAGTGGCAAGGACAATATTATTACTAGAAGATCAGATCAGAAGTAATCGACAAAGTATGTATTTTGTTGTGTATAGAGTGTTGGCATGTAATAAGTCGTTAATTATGAGCACTCTGATCGAGTTTGTATTTTGTAGTCTCTTCTATGTAAATTAAAGTATTTTGTTTTAAACAAAGTTTTAAATTTCCCGGGGATTTTCTTTTAGTGTCAATGTTTTAAAAGTCAATGTGACACATCGGACTCGTATTCGGGTCGGATACGGGTTGGAGTGTTACAGTAATTTTATTAATTTAATTATCATAACTAACAATTTATTTTAACTTTTAAAGAGTAACCATATTAATTATCATAGTTTATTTAAATATAAAAAAATTATCATAACTAACAATTTATTTTAACTTTTTAAAAAATAATCATATTAATTATCATAGTTTATTATAAATTTAAAATATCACAAATTTATTAATCGTAACTTATAAGTCAAATAAATATCAGTCCAATTTAATAATATGTCGAATCATTTACAGGTTGAGTCAATTACATATCAGGTTGATAACAGGTCAGGTAATATCAGTTATTTACCGGGTTAATATCGGGTTCGGGTTCATATCAGGTCGGATGCAGGTCGGGTTCGGTTATCACATTTATCATGTTCAATTAGAGTTTAGGTCGTTCTCAGGTCGAGTGTAGATCGTAAATTTCCAAGTCCAACTCGAATTCAGGTCAACATTAGTTCAAACTCGAATCAATTTCGAACACCACCTCGAGTCATAAATAATTTTGACCCAAGTTAAATTCAGTCAATTTTGCAGATCGGGTCAATTTTTTATATTAAATTAGGCTGCCGTCGTGTAGAACTACCCCGATCAATAGATCCGAGTTAATTAATGATATTTGTAACTCATTTATATAATATATATGCTAAGGCTCATTTCAAAACAAAACAAAAGAAAATGTCTTTGAACTAAAACTACTACTGTTCAGTACTGAAAATCTGCACCAAGACCCGAAACTTAGTTCAAGCAAACAAAGTCCATTGCCACATTCTTAGAACAATGAAAGACCCGGAAACATTCTTGCTGAACAATTTGGTTAATGCTTACAGTAAACTAGGGGATTTGAGGTATGCACGGTACGTGTTCGACATAATTCCCCACCCAAATCTCTTTTCATGGAACACTATTCTTTTCACTTATTCAAAATCTGGGAATGTTTCAGAGATGAAAGATATCTTCAACCGCAAGCCTGAGCGTGATGGGGTTTCTTGGAATTCGCTTATTTCGGGGTATGCTTCTCGTGGTTTAGTGACTGATGCATTGAAGGGTTATAGTTCAATGTTGAGGGATGGAGCGGCTAATTTGAATAGGATAACGTTTTCTACTATGCTTATATTGTCGTCTAGTCAAGAGTGTTTTGATTTGGGTTGGCAAATTCATGGGCAGATTGTGAAATTTGGGTTCGGTTCTTATGTGTTCGTGAGTTGTCCCTTGATGGATATGTTTTCAAAAGCAGCGCGTGTTTTCGATGCGAAACTAGTTTTTGATGAAACGCCAGAGAGGAATGTGGTAATGTATAACACAATGATTACTGGGCTTTTGAGGTACGTTATGGTGGAGGATTCCTGGTGGTTGTTTCGTAGTATGCTGGAAAAAGATTCGATTTCATGGACAACTATGATCACAGGGTTGACCCAGAATGGTTTGTATAGAGAGGCTATTGATTTGTTCAGGGAGATGAGGATAGAAGGTTTGTCTATGGATCGTTTACCTTTGGAAGTATGTTGACGGGTTTTGGGGGTTTAATGGCCCTGAAAGAAGGCAAGCAAGTTCATGCCTTTATAATCAGAACAAATCATCAGGATAATGTTTTTGTAGGCAGTGCACTTGTCGATATGTATTGCAAGTGCAAAATCATATCATCTGCAGAAGCAGTTTTCAAGAGGATGACCCAAAAGAATGTTGTGTCCTGAACTGCACCGCTTGTGGGTTATGGCCAGAATGGGTACAGTGAAGAAGCTATTAGAAACTTTTGTGATATGCAAAGAAATGGGATAACTCCTGATTATTATACTCTAGGAAGTGTAATTAGCTCATGTGCAAACCTAGCAAGCTTAGAAGAGGGTGCACAATTTCATGGCCAAGCCATAGTTTCTGACTTATTTTCTTTCACGGCAGTATCTAATGCACTCATTACGTTATATGGTAAATGTGGAAGCATAGAGGATGCCGATCGGCTGTTCAATGAGATGACTTTTAGGGATGAACTTTCATGGACGGCATTGGTATCAGGGTATGCGCAGTTTGGTAAAGCCGATGCAACAATTGATTTGTTTCAGAAAATGTTAGCTCATGGTCTAAAACCTGATGAAGTTACTTTTGTCGGTGTTCTATCAGCTTGCAGTAGGGCAGGCGTAGTGGAAAAAGGGTATCAGTATTTTGAGTCAATGGTAAAAGACCATGGAATCACGCCAGTGATTGATCATTATTCTTGCATGATTGACCTTCTTAGCCGAGCTGGAAGGTTAGAAGAAGCAAGATGCTTTATAAACAAGATGCCTATGCCTCCTGATGCAATTGGTTGGTCTACCTTACTTAGCTCCTGTAGACTGCATGGTAACTTTGAAATTGGGAAATGGGCAGCTGCATCCCTTCAGGAACTAGAGCCCCACAATCCGGCAGGTTACATCTTACTCTTGAGCATATATGCTGCTAAAGGAAACTGGGATAATGTGTCAGAATTAAGGAGGGGGTGAGAAATTTAGGAGTGAGAAAGGAATCGAGATGCAGTTGGATCAAATATAAGGGCAGAGTTCACATTTTCTCAGCAGATGATCAGACAAGTCCATTTTCAGATCAGATATATGCTAAGCTTGACGAACTTAACAGCAAGATGGTAAAGGAGGGTTATGTACCAGATTTGAGTTCTGTTCTTCATGATGTTGGGGAATCACAAAAGACAAAGATGTTTAATTACCACAGTGAGAGGCTTGCAATTGCATTTGGGTTGTTATTTATCCATCCAAGGCTTCCAATACGGATAGTTAAAAATCTTAGAGTCTGTGGGGATTGCCATAACGTGACTAAGATTATTTCTAAGATCACCCAAAGAGAGATACTAGTACGAGATGCTGTCCGCTTCCATTTGTTTAAAGATGGAACATGCTCATGTGGTGATTTCTGGTGATGCTTCTTTCTGTGCCTAAAGCTGACAATGAGAAGATCAAACCTTTTGCTAACGACTTCAAATGGAGAAATCAAAGGATCATTCACATAAAAAGGCCATAGTCTTGGAAGATATTATCAGGAAGATGCTTTGGATGTTGAAAACGGTGCTAATTACGTCAACGACTATTTGTCAGATCACCGACCAAATCCTGCCTTCCAAAAAATCCACAAATATTGTCAGAGCATTTGGTTCTCCAACAAGCCGAGGCTAATATCTCTTGAAAATTCTCAAATAAGTTACAGCCTTATCAACTTCTCGAGTTCATGTTCCCTTGGTTAATCAGGATTTTTGGGACCTCTGGATATATCGAAACTTGGAAAGGCTTGTCCCTTTGACTGAGTGCTTCCATTAAATTTCTCTCTATTGTGAAATGGTGTTTCCATTTCTTAAAACTTGCTTGTACTCCTTCGAAAAATCAATATAAATTGGTATCATGGAAACTTCATCCTACCATATCTGTTGTCTCTGTATTTACAGAATTAGTACAGACAAATTTACAGGCAACACAATATAAGTTTTGATTTTGTTCTTTCTAGAGGCATATCATTTACATTAACATTGGAGTGAATTTGGGGCATCTTTTTACATGGTGTAATAGCTAGTTGAGCTGCTCGGCATCCTGTTTAAGCGTCTTAAAATGTTCTCAGCAATCTGCCTCGTGTTACCATTCCCATGATGAAAAGCACTAACCAATGAGGCGGGCAGTGACCTATCCTGTGATATGTCTGAAGCTGATTTATTTCCACCTTTCACTAGGAATTTTTCAATCATCCAAAAAGATTTCTGCCACAGACCCTCTCGTCTGTGCTCTTTCACCGCATTCAAGATACGCCGAATGGCATCTAATTCGTTCAACAGGCTCAAACTCTTGTCCACGTCAACATTGTCATCCAACAAAGTACATATAGCCGCCATCGAAGCTTCAACTACCTCACCATTCTCATGATCCAGGCATGCCAGCAGCCTATCGACAGCCTTCGCATCGATCAAACAAAATGTGGTTTCTGAAGAACAAACACCTCTGTGAACTGAACATAGTAATGGGATCTTTATCCTTTTCGATGAACTGAAAGATAGAAGTTTTGGCAGACGGAAAAATTTCGTAGACTTGGTTTTCTTAATATTTGGTGGCTGTGATAAGTTCATTGACTCTAATGAGAGCTTCTCGAGTCCAGTTGCTGATAATCTTTGAACTTCATCACTAGATGTCTTCATGAGCAGTTCCGTGAACACTGATGTGAGTTTGTGAGCTTTTGCTAGAAGCAATATCTGTGGTTCATACAGTGTTGTTGTGAATCTAACAAGAATCCCAACTAGGCCTTCTAAGTAAACATTTGCATGCCTGCTAGTTCTTATTCCACTTCTTTGGATTAAAATGATTTTCTGAAGGATTATGGGGACAACATTCTTGTGCAGAAGAGCAAGGTTTAGTGTTAGATTCTGCTGGGGGAGATTTGCCAGGAATTTTGCTGAAACTGCCTGCTTCTCTGTAATGTGGTTAGTTTCTGTAAGGCTCTCGATTAAACTCTCAGGCTGCCCCCTGGTTTTGCAGAGTCTCTCTGCTAGTGTGTTGCCCATGTGTGGTGATAGGGTAACAAGTAGCTTTATCGCTGCAACCCCGAGTTGTTCGTGTTGGTTATTGATGAATTCAATGAGGGTGTAGCTTGCTTCGGTCTCGTTCACAATCGAGACAATTGCTGCCATTGACTTGGGTGACTTTGTCAGGCATAACAGAATTCTGATGAGATTGATGTTGAGCTCATGAGCTTTCGAGTTCTTAAGCATGCTGACAATGTTATAGATGACGTAATCTGAACTTATCCTGTGGCCATGGGGATTTACTTGGATGCCGTCATGCTCAACCCCCGACTCCAGAACATGAGCAAGTATGGCAGCCGCTTTGTTCTTAGAGTTCATAGGCTCATCGTATATCGTACGAGTGAAAACCTCTTCAGCCATAATTTGGATAATACCGGCTTCGACAAGTATCCTTCCATTTGAATTGTGAGATGAGATTTGTGCCAAAGCCTTGAATGCTGATTCTCTGATGATGGGGTTTCCACTTTGCATCATTTTAATGAGACCAGGAGAAGCTCTCTCAGCCACATAGGTTATGCTGTCATCACTGAGAATGACTTCCCCTAAGTAGCTTGCCATTTCCATCTGCACCTCCTTCGAACCTGCTTATTAAACATCAGCATACTTCTCCTAGACTCGAAAACACTCGAAAACATGTTTTCTATGATCAAACTTGATCCTTCAGTTAATATGCAGTTTAGAAATAATTCCCTTGAAATTTGTCATTTGGAAGAAGGTTGATCATAAAGAAAGTCAAGTTACCTTCTGTTAGATGGTTCAAAAGAGGTTCCAAGAACCCATACTCCGCCATCCGCTTTATGTTATCTCGAAATCTCTCTAGGTTCTTCAAAATTGCATCTGCTTTTTCGGCAGCAAAGGAATCAGCCTGATGGTTATATTTGATTCTGAGCAGAATCAAAATTGCTCCGGTTGCAGACCCGATTTTTTCACATAAAGCTTGACATCTCGAAAGCTCGAGTAAGAAAATCAATGATGCATGCTGAACTGACTGGTGGCTACACGATAACAACTCGACTAGTGTTGATAGATCCATTGTATCAGCAATCATTTCCTGAACAAAATATAAAGAAAACGGAGCTGTAATGTTCTTTTCATCTTTCGGTATGTATAAAATATCTGGAAATACTAAAAAACCGAACCTTTCCTTCATCGTCTTCCTCAGCCAATTGTTGTAGTAGTTCCAAAGCTCCACATCTGACATCTATATCTTTGTATCCGAGTAACTTAATAAGCAATGGCAATATTCCAACACTAAGTACTTGTACCCTGTTGTATTGTTTCCTTTTGCAGATATGTTGCAGGTCCCTTATTGCCTCTAGTATCATACTATCCGAACTAGCCAAAGATAATGCCACACGAGCAACCTTGATCCTTGCAACGTCGTTCCGATCCCTCCATTGTTCTATCGTGATCTTTAAAGCGACATTGGTGCTTAAAACCTTGGTCGGGAGCTTCATCCCTGTGGTTGGACATGTTATATCCTCTAGATAACTGAAAGTTTCAAACCACTCCGATATCGCCTTCCTCTCATAGGTTACTCCACTCTCAATGGTAACTGGATCATCCATAACCTGCTTAGTTAATGGACATACGAAAGTGTCGTACATAGGTTCAATATAATGAGCTACCTGTGGCAACTTTGTAATGGGTTTGTTTATACTTTCATACTGTCTTCTCTGATTTGAAATTTTAAGGAAATCATTTTGGAGCGGCATGTTTGAAGCTTGAGAACTTTCTGTGGAGACAGAAACTTCCACATGGACAGAATAAAGGTCTGGTTCCATTGGCATTTGTTGTGGCATTTGAGAACTTTCTATTCCCATTTTTGATTTCTTCGGTTCGAGCTCATTGGTTCGTAATTCTCGAGGTTGCTTAGCTTCAAAATGGACATTCTGCATTCCCTCCGAAATAGACCGGACCATTGGCATTTGTTGTGGCATTTCAGGACTCTCTGTTGCCATTTTTGAGTTCTTAGGTTGTTCCGTTGCAAAAGATATCGTTGGTTCGAGCTCTTTGGTTCGTAATTCTAGAGGTTGCTTAACTTCAAAATGGATATTCTGCATTTCCTCCGAAAGGGATCGGACTGCAGTCTCCGCATACTCCTCGCCCCCGAACGTTGCAGACGGTATCAAGCACAAACATTCACCTGTGTCTTTTATCACCCCTTCTAGCTGCGCTATGATACTTCCCAGTTCAGTATCTGAAACTGGCTGGTTCTCTTTATGGCATTCTCCCACAAGATCTTTTGCCAGATTGACATTCTGGGAAACAGATTGTAGTATCTCTCTCACATTTTTCGGAGGGGTTTCGGTATGCTTCAACTCCATTATCACTGGAAAAACTCGATAAAGACAACATCCAACTTCAATAAAGCTTTTCTGCTCTACTTCTATGCATTCTACTGATTCTGTGACTGTTTTAATATCTGCCAACAAGGATTCGAAAAGACCAGAAAAGGCAGTGTTGTCAATCTGAAAAACCGAAAAAAGATCGAAATCGAGATATAAGTATTTTCTGTTTATTCTATTTCAGAAAATGAGGCTAGTATGCATAGTCGAGGATACAGTCAAGCATCGTACATGGCTATACATCGTACATGTTTCTATGAGGCTAGCCTATCTTATACTCAAGTATCGTATACGGTATGTTTTCTCTGGAATTATGCTTAAAATTTTATAAATTCTGTAAGATTATATATCCATAAATGCATGCAATACTTCATCAAGAATAGAATAGTACACAGAGAGAGATTTTGTAAAGCTCGTACCGACATCGTCGAATCGGAGATGAAACCCTCCGAGGATTCTCTAGTTTGCGGTAAACTTGCAGAACCTTAGAGTTGGGGATGACAAGATATTTCAAGAAATAAAAGTATGTCATTGAATCAGTCTCTTGTCCATAATTGTTTAGCATTTATTCATTTCATCATACTGGAAGTGGTCAACTTTAATATCTTGATACCAAGTCATAACACTATTTATTATAATATACAGATTATGTATGCATTAATAACATATACATGTCTATATCTATATATATAATTATATATATATATAATGATCAAATTGTTCTTTACCTATGTTATTTGTTTATGTATTGACCTATAGAAGTTGATAACTTGTGCCTCTAGGGAAAATGAAACATGGGTTAATCTAATTAAAGGTACTAGTCTAGTTTTGACTAAACATTTTGTTGACATTGATAAATGGATTAGTAATAGTTGATTACTAATAGTGGATTTTTTTAGGTATATTACCGGGAATGTCATTACCTCTTTTTCTTAAGTATTGTTGGATTACCGGCGTTTTGAACTAAAATGCCCTTAATTTTTTTTTCAAAAATATTATTCTTGTATCATTGAATAATAAGAATTCTACGAAAATTAAATTACAAATTTATTCTTAAACTATTTTAGATTTACAAAAAAAAATCTATAATTAAAATTTTATATGAAATTTAGGGATTAAAATAAAATTTTACCATTTCATTAAATTTTTTTATATTTTTAATTTTATAAAAAAAATTATATAAATTTTATGAATTTAATTTTTTTTAAAGAAATTATATAAATATTTTTCAACTTGTTAAAAAAATAAATATATAATAAGACCAATTTCGTCAAATATACATTCCAATAATCTTTTATTTCTTTAACCAAACACGATAATCTTACATTCCTGTTAAGCTAACCAAACACAAAATACAACATTCTCAGTAATTCTAACCCCTGGTAATCTTACATTCCGTAAACCAAACGCACTCATAATATTCTTATTATTTCCCGCGATTAAATACCAATGGACTAACATATGAAAATTTACAATAGAGGACATTTAATCTTCCCAAGGGTCACTTTCTGTCCTTATTTCCGAAGGTTCGATAACTTGGGACTCCAAACTTTCGTCGGTGCCGGTATTGGTTTCAACGGCACTAGCTCCTGATGCTTCAAACTCATCGTCCTCGGATCTACCCCATCTTCCTCCGAGTGCCATTGCCATCATCTCATATATCTTATTACCAAACTCAGCAGGGCTATCAGGCTGCATCATGAAAGGAAGAATGCAAGAATAATATGATATACAAAAGCCTGCAAATATGTTGAGCTAAATCAAAGAACTTCTATCCACTTACAGAGAAACCACTGGAGATCAATGCTGTATCATACAGCAAGTCAGCAGTTCTCTTGGCATCACTGCTTTCAGGTGCATTCTTGCATGCAGCCTGCAAACGGAAATTAATATTGTAGCGGCACACTCGAACTAGAAACGCCTTATAGCATGTTCAACAAAATTGGCCGTACATTTAATTCCTTAATAATCGGATGATCTGGATTTATCTCTAGTATCCTCCTTCCCCTCATGAACTCCAAACTTGCGGTGTCACCGAGAGCTTGTGCTTTCATCAACATTGGAATGGATTGAAAATGTTAGTTGAAGAATAGGTTCTCAATACGTCTATCGACTTGTATTGAGAAGAAAAAGAAAATTGCTTACCTTTCCATGTTAGCCGACCATCCAAACTTGCCAGAAACAAGCACACATGGTGATGAACTTAGTCGCTTCAAGATTTGGACTTTGGCCACCTTGTCTCTGAGTTGTTGTTTTACCCAATCACAGAGAAGATTGTATTCTTGTTTAGTTTCCCTCTCTTTTACCTCATCTTCATCACCTGGCACGACAAAGAAATTGAATACATTCACACCAAATCCATCAGAAATGATGAGCGACAGTCAAAGATCACACCAGAAATAAATAAATGAAAAGAAAATCAGAAAACTAACCAAGTTCTAAATCTTCCTTGCTAATATCAATAAATTTCTTTTCTTTGAAGGTCTGCAGATTTTGGATGGCAACATCGTCGATAGGCTCAATTAAATAGAGAGCCTTACAAAACAAGGAGCTAGATCAGTTGTCCTAGAACACCAAAAGCAAAAAACCTACTAATCACAAAACATGAACCACAAATTCCATGTTTGGCAGCATAAAGACAGAACCCCAAGTTTATTATTTTGAACCTTGCACATCCAATCCAAATCTACAATCATACCTCAATGCCTTTTTGAACCAACTTTTCCAAGAATGGAGCGGTCTTGGCACTTCTCAAGCTGTCAGTTGCCAAGTAATAAATTGCCTTTTGATTCTCACTCATATTTTCAACATATGTATCCAAACTCGTCAATTCCTCTTCACTTTTTGAAGTGTAAAACCGAAGTAATGGAGTTATACGCTTGTGAATACCAGTGTCTTCGATGCAGCCCAACTTTAGAAACCTGCCAAAGTTCTCCCAGAATTTCTTGTAATCCTGTAACCGAATTCCACCATCATCTAAGTTACTCGACAGAGTTCAAGTCAACAACTGAGAAAGAACTTATGGTGTCCCAGATCATACTATATTACCTCTTTATTTTCACTTTCAGAAATCTCTTGAATCATGTCAAATGTTTTCCTGACAAGCCTCTTCCTCATAATTCTCACCTAACACATAATAACCATAGAATAGACAATACAGAAAGTAACAGTAAATACGAAATAGTTAGCAGCGTTGCTCAGCACCCCAAACTGAAAATAAGAATTATATTTAAGCAACTTGTGTAAACTTTATGTTGATATGACTACAGAAGTGTGAACAAAATTAATCTTACAATTCGACTCTCTTGAAGGATCTCTCGAGAAACATTAAGGGGAAGATCATCCGAGTCCACAACACCCTTCACAAAGCTCAAGTATCGTGGAAACTGAAAAAACAACATTAAGGTTGAATGCAAGTTAAAGAATATGACGATACAAGCTAAACACACGCGACTCCACAAGTAAAAGCACCATGGTATGTTCCCATAGAAGAAACTGATACTGCAACATTTAATACTCTACAAATAGAGCTATCAAGTGACCAAGTTAAAACTGACCAGCTCTCCGTCAAAATCATCCGAGATAAATACACGCTTCACATACAAACGTATATTCTTTGTTTTAGAATTCGTGACATCCTCATTGTTGAGAGGGCCCATGCCAGGAATGTACAGCACACTCCTAAACTCAACCTCACCCTGCATGATCATCAGTGAAACTTTAACGGCTTTTGTTATGCAAAAGAAGCCAATTTATAAGATTATAAGTGCACACTTACCTCTGTAGTAAAGTGAGTGTATCCAAGTGGATCCAAGAATTCATTGAAAGTCTTCTTGTAGAATTCATTATACTCATCCTTTTCAACTTCTTTTGGATTCCGCATCTAAACCAGATAAACAAAAAGACATATCCACGATGGTTCATAACAACAAAGAATACATGGAAAATAGAGGATATTCCAAAGGAAAAGCAGGCATTTTAAAGTGCATTTATGAAGGTGGCAGAACAACAAACTCACCCATATCGGTTTTGTTTCATTTGCTAATTCCCACTCCCAATACTTTTCGGTTTTAGTTGTCTTCTTTTTCTTCTCACTCTGTCAACAAGCACATAAACCCACTAATTAACACAATATTTTCAAAAAAGAAAGTATGACAAAAAAATAATATCAGAAAACATTGCAAGGTTACCTCTGGCTTTTCTTCATCTCCTTTTGGAGTTTCTTCCACCTCTACCTGCCCAAAGGTTGAACATAAGTACAAAGTGGTTAAAGAACTCAATTTTCCAAGTGTTGAGAGTTCAAGTGCGTATAACAGGACGGACTCGGGGAAACAAGTACTCAGTTTGATTTATGTAAAACTGATTACCCTTTCTTAAAGCATTAATAGAGAAGAAAGTATTATACACAAATAAGAACAGAAACGCACACACTAACCTCAATTGTCCTCGATTTTTCTTGCCAGTTGTATATAGGGAAAGAAACAAACTGAGAGTAATTCTTCACCAAATTCTGAATTCTGATTGGATCTGAGAATTCATACTTGTCATCCGACTGCAAAAGAACAATATCTTAGACAAAATTTGACACTCAGAAGAACCGGAATGTAAAAAAGAAAAGAGATAATTATACAAATAAACATGACACGAATACAAATTACTATCTTTTAATATTTAACATACAAATGGAAATAGTTAAATGCAGTTATTCTAACAAAACGTAAAGGATTAAAAAGAAAGAACAGATAGGGTACCCTTAGATAAAGTGTAATCTGTGTACCATGGTTTAGAAGCTTTTCGGGATTGGTTTCCTCCTTGATCACATATGAGCTACTGTCTGCTACAGCTTCCCAAACATATTGCTTCTCCAACCTTGGGCTCTTAGTGCACACAACAACCTAATTAAGAATAATTTAAGCAAGCAAACCCAATTAGTGCCTAACACGAAAATTATTCCTACGAGAAAAGGCTTCAAACATGAAGAGAAAGATCATAATGCAAAATATCAATTAGGCAGAGAATATGTTACCTTCTCAGCAACAAGAAAAGCAGAATAGAATCCAACACCAAATTGGCCAATCAAGCCATTGTCTGCCCCTAGATCCTTATTTTCCTACAGAGAATCAGATGCTAAATAAGTGACCAAAAACAATAAACTTCAACTTAAAAAAAATCGAAACAGATTACCTTAAGAGCCTTAAGAAATTTTGAAGTACCACTTTGAGCAATTGTTCCAAGACAATCAACGAGCTCATCTTTCGTCATTCCAATGCCTGTATCTCTGCAAATCCATGAAAAGAAAAAAGATAAAGAAAAATAAATCATCCATCATTTCATTTTTTTTTCAGTATGAAAGGTCACAAACAAACGTACGTGATTGTGATAGTCCCATTATCAGGATCAGTTTTGATTCGTATTTCGAGTTCCTCGGTGTCTCCAAGCAGAGAAGGCTCGGTCACACTCAAGAATCTAAGCTTATCTAAAGCATCACTAGCATTACTAGAGCACAAAAAAAAAATATTATTCATAAGTTCCAATTGAAAACCAGGAGTCTATTAAAAAAATGAACTTTGGGTATACAAGATGAAAGGTTCTCACCTTACAAGCTCTCTCAAAAACACCTCTTTGTGGCTATACAGACTATGAACAATCAAATCCAACAATCGACTAACCTGCAAAAAAACAAAAAAAGGAGAGAAGCCATCAACATAACAAACACATACCATTAATCAAAAAGAGAGATCATAAGAAGCAAAAGGAAAAGAGACCACCTCGGCTTGGTACTCAAATGTCTCGCCGGAGGTCACGTTGGGCTCTTTCTCGGCAACCGCCGACGCCACACACTGAACCGCAATGCGGTGGTTTTTCTTCTCGAGCTTCCACCTTAAACCGGAGGAAGATAAGGCATTGTTTTGATGGGTGGGTAGGTAGGAAAACGCTTCCGGAAGTGAAGGCCTTGTCGCGGTTTGTTGTTAAATTGAGAGAAGCTAAAGATGGGGTAGCTAAAATTCTGGTTAGAATTGAAGCCATTGAAGCTAAGCTCGAGAGAAAGAGAGAGAGCTGGGAAATGAATAACAAAAATGATAAAGTCTAGATTTTTAGGGAAGAAATAGTATAACTAGAAACCCTGCTGCAAGGGGTTTAACTGAATGAGTGGAAGATTCTAGAACTCGGGAAATAAGGCCTAAGAATCTGCCATTTTAGAAACCATCTTATCCTTTGTTGGTACAATAATTCTTCAATCTTTAATTTGAAGATAAATACACTAAAATATATTATGATTTTCAAAAGATGTTAATAAATTAAATTATTAAAAATAAATATAATTACCAACCACATATTAGTTTAATCGAATGAGATGGTAGATCCCTTAAATAAAGATTAGAAGTTTAAATATTAACATTTGTGAACGAAACAAATTAAATTAAAAATAAATTTTGTATATTCACCGAAAAATTTCAAATAAAATTTTAATGATAAAGCATTCAAAATTTCGAGTACGGAGGAGGATTTATAATAATTTGATTTTATCAATTAAGTATACATCTACTAGCTTACCTCTACACCAAAGATATCCTATCAACTAAACTGAACTAATATATTTTTTCTCCACATGTATTCATCTCTCTGCTCAGTATCCCCTTCAATGTCTCATCTCTATTGTTTCTTCTCCAAATACTGCTCCGTACTAAATTTTGTGGTGGCCATGTGGTGGAACATGCTATCGCACATAGTTCAAGGTGAGTGTGAAAATATGTTTGCCGGTGGTGGCTGGCGGTTTTAGACCCACTGCATCATTCAACTAGTGTTGGAAAATACGCTTTGAGCAAACCCTAGCTAACCTATATCTACACAGCTTTTCATGCATACTGTCAACTAAGAAGACTAGGGCTCACACTTCTTTGCTATCTCCTCTCTAAATTCTCTTTTAAAAGATTGCGGTGAGTATCAACTCTTGATATGATTATAGATAAACTTACGTGATATGTTATGATTAAATATGTTATATGTCGTATGTATTTATTATGTTAACCTATGATTGATTATATGATATTTTAAATTTAACATTAACATTAAAGATAAGCATATGAATCGTTATATACAACTGAAGATGAGGTCGAAAATCTCTTTTCTTTCCGGTGATCTCATACTGTCCACCATCTTCAGCTCACCATTCTTTATTAAACTACCGATTGTAATTTTCGCCCAAATTAAAAGGAATGAACCGTCAAACACAACCCACGTTATATCATATATCAATGTATTCCTCATAACTTATATAGGTGTATAATGAAAACATTTGAAACGACTGGAAATCATTCAAAAGAAGGTTCAAGTAAGAGGGTATGGGGATCGGGGAATAGTAGCCAACTCATTTGGGAAATTCAAGATCGAAACCATATATCAATATATCTCAGGCTCGGGGCAAACGAACACAAAAACCTAATATTTCTCGTTGAATGCATGGCGGCAGACAGGCGCAAAACACACGTACCTTGCATTCCACGTTATCTAAAGCACCACCTCTACCACTATGCACAGATTCATGGACCACTCTCTGAAATCCCTTTGTTCATTACCATAGCTTCGATGTTTTCCACGCAAATTACCCCCTCTCTCTCTCTTAGACCCCAAAATTTTCATCTTGGACCTTGAAACAAGTGCTTAAATTCACTACAAATTCTAAAAGCATTGAGATTCTCATATAGGTTTACACAAGTGGGTGGTGATACATTGGAGGGTTCAAATGATGTGTGTGTGTGTGCGCGCTATTTGAAAAGGTAGGCAGATGTTGGAAACCATAGTCATAGGCTACTAGCTTTGACTTCGGTTCTTGCTACTAGGTGCTATAGCTTTAAAACCCTAAATTTGCTCATGTTTTTTTTTTCATTTCTGAAGACAAATGGCTGCCGAGAAGATCATAACATGCCTCTTCATTTTAGTTGTTTTTGCTGCATTCATCTCCTTCACCCAAGCCAACCAAGGTACACAACACAATATCCAATTCTTTTTCATTTGAGCATTTTGCTGCATGTTGGCTGTTGCTCTATAGTTTTAAGGTTTCTAAAGTTGATGAACTTAATTAGTTTTCTCTCCTTGTTCCCAGATTCAAACCACGAGACAAGTTCAACTGGAAAGGTAAATGAACTGATACCGATTGATCTATGCATGCATGATAAAATGTTGTTTATACATCTGATGAAAAAAATCTGGGGTTTAAGCAGGAGCTAGTGAATGGTGCAAACAAGAATTGGGTAATTTTTAGAGGGAGAAAAATGGTGCAAATGAAGAAGGTGAAGGATGTGAAAACGAGAGGGTCGACTGCTACAGATTCATCAAAGTGTGATCATCAGTCAGGTTTCCTGGATTTCAACGTTGACTATCATGCACCAAGGCACCATCCTCCTAAGAATAACTAATCAAGCAACATGTATATCTCTATATATCTATATCCATATATATCTATAGTAGTTTTCTTCAACAAAGAATGTTAAAATGAAGGACTAGCTTTGATATCAGGATTTTTTTTTGTTGAAATACAGTGTGATCTGGGTTTTGCTTATATCCATGAATGTTAACTACTGCTTAAGCATTTTCTGTGTTCCAATAATACCAGTTCGCAAGTCTTCAGCCTATTGCCTGGTGGCCCAAATAAAATGGAGTTCTGTATTGGAAAAATGGTCTGTTCTTGAAATTTTAGTGGGCTCAAGACTAGGCCTTGCTGATCTCAAACTATGCATGAATGTTCATTTTTATGATTTATGTTTAGGGTTTAAGATTTGGGTATATGTTTTTTCAGTGCTTGATCTTATTATTATCTAGTTTCTCCAGCTAGAGCTTATGATTAAGAACACTAAGGTTGCAAAAAAATAGGGTGTTAGATGAAGTATTCATGAATTATTTGTGTATGAATTAATTATTTATGTTCATTTAATAAACGAATGAATATAGAGATAGGTTTGTTCGGTTCATTTATATTCACATACAAATTCATTTATTGGCTTGTTTATCAACTTGTTTGTAAGTTTGTTTACTCGATTCTCTTTTTTTTTATTTTATTTTTTTACATTTTAAATATCGGTGAAGGTATGGAATAAATTGAACACACGGTGAAATTTAGAGTTCAAACTATATGAAACCTGATAGGTATGACTCATAAATATACCAGTAAAGTACATGGTTAATTATGTAATTATGTACCATATTTTTTATTATAAATAGAGATGTAACCTAAACCTATGAGACATTTAATAAAATTTCTAGCGCCGCCTAGGCACCGAGGACGTAAGCACATTGCCGAACCTCGTTAAAAATTCTTGTATTCTTTCGTTTACTTTGCCCGATTCTTCAACAAAACCTAAGAAGCTTAAAGAACGGTGATGTAATTTTACCATTTTTTAAACACATAAAAGAGCATTTTCGCGAACATCAAACTAACATATTGGCAAACACTAATGTTGAAGAACATATAAACTAATATGTTTACAAACACTAAACGAACTGAACACGAATATGATATTAGAAATTTACACGAACTGAACATCAACGCTTTAAAAAATAAATAAACATGAAAATATAATCTTATTCGTTTAAGATCTATTCATTTACACAAGTAGAGGACACCCCACTCTTCTCCACTCCTTTGCCTGCATTTGCTTCTCTCTGATCTATAATCATTTTATCTTCAACCACAATCAATGCAGATGAATATTATTAAGTGTTCATATTAGATGCACTGTCGGTATATAAATATGTAGCAGATGGCATCAATATGGAACAAGAACCTGCAGGCTGTTATGAGATTAGGGTTTCACGTCCAACTCTATCCAGAACAGTCTTCAAGCTGTTATTATATAGGATAAATTACGTAAATGATCCCGATTATAGGGTATTATTTTATTAAGTTTTTCTTCTATTAAAAGTTACAAAAATGAATCTTTGACTATAGAGTGTTCTTTTGTTGAGTCCTTAAACTATTAAAAGTTATAAAATGACCACCCGACTATTATTTATATTCCAAACTCACCATTTTTCATTAAAAAAATGGATGATATTATGAGATGAACGTTAACTTTTAATAGTTCAGCTGAAACAATCGTCATTTTTTAATGGAAAGGGACGAGTTTGGAACATAATAAATAGTCGGATGACCATTTTGTAACTTTTAATAATCGAGAAAATCAACAAGACAACCCTCCATAGTTGACGAACTTAATAAAACAGTATACTATAGTCGGACCATTTACGTTATTATCCTATTATATATTATAGCCTTAAATTAAATGTAGTGTGTAACTTTTAGGTCAAATTGAGCAGCTTCATGATTGAGGTTTTAGGTTAAACGGCCTATTCTGATAACCAGAACTTCACCGAACCTGCTTGATTGTGTTTGGTCTGAATCAGATAAGCTTTGGCTTTGTACACGTAACTGTGACTAATTATGTTGAATTATATTTAAATATCCTCCTAATTTATAGCTTATCATTCGATCCATTATCAGTAGAAAATAAATTTCATATAATATCAAAATAACCTTTTATGATTAGTTAAATGATAAATATTATGTACGAACCAAACGACTTTAGTGATAAAAGATTTGTTGTTATTCTTTGAGGTCTCGGGTTTGAACACCAGGAATGCCAAGATGTGAACATTTAATATCAAATGATTGAGAATTATCTTCGAACAAATACGATCTTGTATTTATCCCATATAAAAAATGATAAATATTGTACTATAATATTTTTAAATATATATATATGTGAATATATACTGTTAAGAATTCGAAAAATATCATATTGTTAAAATATTTTTTTAATAATCTGAATTAAGTACAATATAATATTTGTTTAAAGTTAACTCTTAATTTTTCAACATTGAACACTTACGTCTTTAATATTTATGGTACTCGAACTCAAGTCCTCAAGAATAATAACAATTTCTTTATTACGGAAGGTTCGTATATTGCTAAAACATTTTTAAAAGATATATACACCGTTAATGATTTACGTTTGGAAACGAATAACTGACAGTTGTAAACAACGAAAACGAATGGCATGAGAAATTAGCAAAGAGATAAAAACCCTACCAAAGTGTGTTGAAAATGAAAGGAAAGGGCCGACCTTTTCGGTTGTGATAAAATGTGTTGGGGAAAAATTATTAGATGAAATTAGTTTATCACGGTATCTGTAATATCAATTAATAATGTTGGTTCATCTTGATTTTTAAGATAAATTTTTACATCTTTTTTACGTGTAGATAAAAGAATAAAAATTAATAGATCTGATTTAATAAGATCGTAGATGACGTGATGAATCGAATCTTTAAGAATAATTTCTCGTTTGCATGGGGACCCCAAACATTATGTGATGTTTCCTTTGTTGATTTCTAATAATATTTATTTTCCAACTTGCTTTCAGTATCAGCTTCGACCGTCCCATTCTTGATTTAATCAAATCATGCACAGGTTTTAATCTAAATTCCCAAAATCCATCATTTCCAACTATGTACAAACCTTACTAGGACTAAATTTTAACTGAGAAAAAAATTAACTTCAAATAAATTTTTAGATTCTAACAGTTACGTCTATAGGATATATATATATATATATATATATATATATACACATTGTCAGTAATTTAAAAAAAATTAACAAATATTACCTTATAATCATTTTAAAATATTAGAAAAGATAAAAATAATTTTTTCTCATGTAGTATATCCAATTTAATAATTTTGTCACTATCATATTTTCGCATCAATTTAGCCCTCGAATTGCATCATTCTATACCTTACCACTAGCTTAAAACCCTAAACTCTAAATCATAAACCTTAACTTAGGGTTTTAAGTTATGAATAAGATATAGAATGATGTGATTAAACAACATTGATGGTCAAATTTATGCGAAAATATGATAGAAACAAAAAATATAAATTTTAATATTAATTAAATTATTAGTTATCATTTCACATGTGTCATATACACAAATCTCTTATACACGAGTTATATTCATTTTAATATTAATTAAATTTTTGACTTTTAAGTTTTGAATAATTAATAGGTTTATATTTTTAAAAAAAATTTAGACAATTTAATCACCCTTTGATTTGAAATCACAGACATGTAATACTTTTACCAACGATGTTGGTGGGGAAATTCTTTCAAGGACTAGAAGCTAAATTTTCTTTATTATTATTATTTTTATAGAAATGGACAGCCATGATATGTTGTCATGACATGATAAGAATCGTCCTTTTGGAAATAAAATAGGATAAACTATTCATTTAGTATCTAAATTATTAATTTTGATTCGTTTTAGTACTTAAATTTTTATTTTTTTCAAAACCATGCATGACGTTTAGTTTTTGTTTCATCTTAGTACACCTCCATTAAAAACTTAACAAACGGGCTGACATGACATAGCTGTGATGGATGGATGACCACTCCAAACAATAGACCACGAGAGAATGATGATTCGACCGACATAATTCAATTTTAGACCCATCGAAGGGTGGACCATGGGGATTAGAGGATGAAGAATTCGTCAACGATTTGAAGAAATTAAGGCTTTTTCCGATGAAATGGAGCTAGTAACTTCCTTCAAGGATTGAAAAGATAGAGACTAAAAAGTTTAAACTATGTAGACGCAGCGACTGACGAGCCTATCAGTTAAACTTGATGTGATACTAAAATAAAATGAGAAGACTCGGACGGCGGCGAAAAATACAAACAAATGAAAATGATATCCATAGTAATCTATGGATGCCAGCCATGTGTTTTTGAATCATTCACAGGAAAATACGTCATGAAATTTAATAAACAAAGAATATTATTTTGTACAGTAGATCGAATACATTTTACGATGAACAAAGTAAAAGTTCATCTCAAATGAATGAAGTTGAAAGCAATATGCAGAAACTTGTCTAATATTATTTATCAAACAAAGACCATAAGGATATGATTCAAGTGAAAGAAAACAAAATCCAAAGGGCTTAAAGAAGAAATAAAACCAATTTCTACTAGCTGAAAAGAAGCCAAAGAATATTTACAGCAATTCCTCATAAGGCTATGCTCCCAAACTACAACATTCCCAGGTCCCGAACAAATGCTTCATTACCAAACTGCAAACAAATCCTACAGCTCCTTATTTCATCTTTCAGTAAACTCGACTACCTGGGGGTATCTCGATATGTCAAAACTGGCATGAAGTACCGAGCCTCTGTATCTGCTTCTGGCCTAAAGTAACGGATTTTCGTTTCTCGAATGCCGGGTAGAGCAACTCTTGGAACTTCTCCAGGAAAATGGTCCATTCTTCCTCGTTCATGTCGGCTAGAGTCACAAAGCTCACACTTCCTGGAAGCTGCTCATTTGCACTCCGATGGCCGGACGAGCTATTGAGATAACCATTTTCTTGTTTTGTTCCAGAAAGTTTGGAGTACTTCTGGCTTTTGTCGCTTAAGCTGGTGTTTTTTAGTGACATTGATAGCTTTGAAATGGATGGGCATTCATCTAGCCTTGAAAGTGGGAAATGGTTAT